AAGTTAGGTCGGTCCATATAATAGGCATGTGTAATATACATGATTATACATGCACCATTCCAAGTTGGACTAACCTATAGCTTATGGATTGATCATGTGCACTACACATGATTGTCCATATTGAGTTGGGCTGAGCTAACCTATGGCCTGGGGCTTGACTTGTTGGCTAGGCTTAGTTTACTAGCTGAGCCTAATTTACGGGTTGTGGCTTAGCCTATTGGTTGGGGGCTTAGCTTGTTGATTGATTCCAGCCCAAATTCTAATCAGTTCTCTTAATTTTGAATTAAAAACATCTTGAACTTATAATCAAAACATCTAATCATTAGCATTGAGTCATTAAAACAAAATAAATAGTAAAAAATTAAAAAGGTAAAATTACATAATAGAAAAAATAATCATTAGCATTCTTCCAAGCTTGCATGTTCTCGTGGTGTCTCTTGCGCGAAGGGTTGGCCATTCCTTTAAATGCCAATGTCAGATGCCCGCTCCTCCGAGCGACTCCTTTTTCCTATATCTCCATGCCCGTTTTCCCCCAAACGGTCGCACGTGTACTGACTGCCCTCAATGCAGCACCGCTAGGTCCCTCACGTTTGCATGCTAAGTGTTTATATGAGTGCTTGTCCCGCTCTGATACCATCTGTCACGGACTTAGCTGGTTTTGCCTAAGTCGTGCGGCACCCTTGTGTGTTCGTCCGCAAAGATCAGCCTCCCCGAAGCCTCCCATTGTCCCTTAGGACCAACAAAAGAGAGAACAAGTTAGAGAAAACGCTTCAATCGGGATCCACAAGCAAACATCTCTGAAAAAATACTTCATAGACAATGCAAATTACAAACAAACTTTACAAGCTCTGAACAGTTGCACAATAAAGGGTAAAATGGTCCATTACAGATCGAAAATCTCTCGCACGTGTCCACATGACACAACCTTTATTTACAAGCCTAAAGAGGCTACCAACCAAACTAAAATGGGACTATTAAGCCTTCGACCGTCCCTCTACATGCTGTACAAGGCATGAACATACCAAAAGACACAGACATACATAAGCATTACATTAAATATCCTGTTTAGAAGTTTGTCCGTGACATTAGGGCATGAGGTGAAAATATGATCAGTCTTTCTATAGAAATAATATCTTATAATAACTTGATTCTTTCTTACTTAATAATGTTTAGACTATCTACTCTTACCCTTCCTTAAAGGTCCAGAATATGATCCCCTATACACGAATGATGTAGCACTAAAATTCATTATTTATTACAATTCATTATCGAATTTTTCTACCTATAGAGCTTAATTGAGTACTTTAACATATGTTGGTAAAATCAATACAATAATATACTTTCTAATTGATGGATGAAGAATCCTCTTAAAGTGATAAGTTCTTTAATATTCATTGAAAGTAAATGTGGAGAGAATTGTGTCATGATCATACTTCACCACAATCCTACTTCCCTAGTGGATAATAAAGAACTCCTATTTCTTCTCCAAGATCAAGGAAGAATTACTTATAAGATATCTTTTTAAATTGCTCCCAAGTCACCACATTATCTCTTGCCTCCCCTCTTTTCTTAGGTCCTCCAAGTATCTATCTTCCAATCTAAAATAAAAGAAGCGAAAAGTACCTTTTGATTTTCTCTATATTCAATAGCTGCATATGTTTTTTTTCATTTGATGGATCCAACATTTAGCAAAAATTGGATCTGACTTGCCCTCAAAAACAGGTAGTCCTAATCTTTTAAAATAATCTAAAGTGTTAATTCTACCCTGTTGAGCTTTATCTTGCTTCTCTTGATGCTTAAGGTAACATCTAATAGTAATAAAGACTGTGTACATCATTTAGAGCATTGACGGGTGCTGAAGCATGAGGTGCATTAGAATTTCTAAGCTAGGGTTTGCTTAAACGCCTATTCGAGTGTATAAGTAAATAACATTGCAACCACGAGCATCCTAAGTGATAAAACCATTGTTCTCTTAAATCGGCTCCATTACTCTTATAATAGGTCAAAAGATAATCATCAATCAAAATCAGTCTTAGGACCCAAAGACCTATAGACCCTAAACTATATTTTAATATCATAGAAAGATATTACATATTGAATTTTTTTTTAAGGATCACAATGTCTCTCCAAAGGTACATCAAAAGTCAAATAAATAAATATTTTTTTATTAATATATATAAATTATAATTATTTATTATAATTTATTGATTCATTAAAATATAAGTTAAAAGTAGGTTGTAAGTTTTGTTCTCTACTAGAATATAGTCTAATGCTATTGATTGGCTATTCTGAAAATAAAAAATAAAATAAAAACTCTTATATCAAATGCCCGAAGAAGTACTCCCTCAATAGTAGATGAAGAGACTTTATCCTACAAAATGAGTTTATATTCTCTAACAACGAATGGAGACAAACCTATATCACACTCCCAATTATGGATGGAGTGGCATCCCTGACTCACCAAGTGAGGGGCACGTTTCTCCCAATAACGAATGAAGGAACTATCCAACCATTATGTTTGATGATCTACTAATCTTGGAAGGGAATCGCCCTACTTGCCCTCAACAAGAAAACAAAATCATCTCAAAGTATACATGTCGATATCAAAATGAAATAATATATTAAAACATATCAATTTATTTTTAAAAAATTATTAATATTAAATAATATCAATTAGCTCTTAATTAACTTGAATCTTAGTTCAATTGGTCTAATCGGACCTAATTAATTAGAATCTAATTGGATTGATCTCTAATCCTCATTTAACTAGTTATAAATTATCCTAGTACAATTTGTACTAAATTAAGTTTAATTTATATTATGTAGATTTAAATAAGTTAAATAAATTTAAAATCATTCTGAATCGATCTAAACTAATCAAATCTAATTTGATTTAATAAGTGTTTGAACCCAAATCACATAAACAAAGTAAAGATAATAAGTTAGACCGCATAGCACTAGGCTAAGTTAGGTCAGTCCATATACTAGTCATATGTACTACACATGATTATACATATACCATTCTAAGTTGAGGGTTTAGCTATAGCTTATGGATTGGTCATGTGCACTACACATGATTATAACCTATAGCTTACGGATTGGTCATGTGCACTACACATGATTATCCATGTTAAGTTGGGCTGAGCTAACCTATGGCCTAGGGTTTGACTTGTTCGCTAGGCGTAACCTAGTAGTTGAGCCTAATTTGCGGGTTATGGCTTAGCTTATGGGTTGGGTGCTGATTGATTCCAACCCAAATTCTAACAAGTTCTCTTAATTTCGAATTAAAAGCATCATGAATTTATAATCAAAATATCTAATCATTAGCATGGAACTTATAATCAAAACATCTAATCATTAGCATTGAGTCATTAAAACAAAATAAATAGTAATAAATTAAAAAGATAAAATTACATTAATAGAAAAAATAATATTTTAATTAATGATTGTCTAAGTCTAAAAGAAATTAAGTATTACTACTATATCATGCACGTAAGATAAAAATTGTAAAAAATATATATAGCATGAATAATTAAATATATTTTAAATACTTGAAGAAATAGAAGAAAATTTTATAAACTACATATAACATGAATAATTATGACATGACTTAATCAAAAAATAAAATTTTAAATACTCGAAGGAATAGAAGAAAATATTTATTTTTTAGTAAAGGTAACGAACCTACCTCTCGATACAACTCTTTATTAGCTTGGTAATGATAAAAAGGATAAAACAACCTCTCCTTAGATAGAAGGATATTGTTATATGGCAGCTTATGAAATATATCTCTAAACTAATAAAATTTATTCAAATAATATATAAACTAAAGAGCTCATACAACAATTTTTGTCTAAAAGGAGTTATAAATTCACCTTAAATTAGATAACATTTAAAAAATAATAAAATTGCATTATTCAAAAGTCTAAAATAAATATAAATACCTCTTTTAAAGACTTAAAAAATAAAAAAAAATCATTTAGGATTTTTAAAGTTATTTATAATATTTTATAAATATTTAAATTTTTTTAAAATATTTGAATCGTAAGTTACATTATTTTTGAAGGGGGTCACACTATTTTTTAATATGGCTCAAAAATAAAGAAATCCGTTCAAAAAAATAGTATAACTCATGTCTCGAATTCCTTTTAATGTTTATCAAACCTCAAAAGACTTTATATGATAATATCCAAGTGTTTTTTGCCCCAAAGAATTGTAAATTCACTTTAAATCGAGTAAAATAAAAAAAATAATATCATACTTTTAATGGGTAAAATAAATAAAAATACCTATTTTAAAATTTAAAGACTTAAAATAGAAAATAACCATTTATACTTTTACAGTTATTTTTAATGTCTTTTTTGAAAATTTAAGAATTTTTAGGATTAATAATTAACATTTATTGTTTTATTTGATGACTTTAATGTTATTTATCTAAAATATAAAAAGAACACCATTATTCTTAATATTCAATAATATGATGTTATTTTATTTTTTTCGTTTTATAATACTTTAATTTTAATTATAAATTAAATTAATGATTATTTTGTATTTTTTGTTGATATAAAAAAGATATTAATATTATTTGATTTTTGTTATCTAAAACACTAAAATATTAGAAAACCTTTAGTTAACAGGAATAAAAATAATCCAATCAACAAAGCGACCAAGATCTAATCCACTTTTTTCGATTGCATCGATCAGTCTGGGTTTAATTATCATGTCTTCAATCTTTTTAATATAGTAAATAGTATCTTTTGTGTTTTTTTAGTTGTGCATCTTTTCTACTACCCATATATCTTCTAATTAGTCATGGTAAAAAAATCTAAAAATATTGAAATAATTAATTTATAGATTATATTATATATTTTCATAAATCTTAATATAATTTTTTATTAAAATATTAAAAATGATTAATTACTGAGATAATATATAATTAGCCAATTCTCGAAAGTATTCTGGGTGATTCTTTGCTGGGACGTTATATTCTCCTTCCTATTTTGGTTATTTGAATCTTCAATACATCACATTATGTCCGGATCGAGGTGGATATTAGCATTCACGAATCGTATAAGGCTGTAATCGAAGCGGATCTGCTACTTGACGGAGGACAACACTTATCCTTCGTCTTCTCCTCTCAAACAACCGTTCTCCATCCCTAACAGACACGCCACGCCCCGGTCCCCTCTGTCGTCCATGAGCCCAGAATTCCAAATCCATGGCCATCAAAGCCCTCGAGGAGAAGGAGCAGTTGGTGGTGCTTCCCAGTCGAAAGAATCGCTGGAAAATATGGACTCATCGATCGATCTTGGAGAAGCCGTGCTGCCCCGAAACACCGCCGCCAAGAACCCCAACAAATTGACCCTCCTTCCCCTCATCTTCCTCATCTACTTCGAAGTCGCCGGTGGCCCGTACGGGGCGGAGCCGGCGGTGCAGGCGGCGGGGGCCCTGTACGCGCTGCTCGGCTTCCTCATCTTCCCCTTCGTCTGGAGCATCCCGGAGTCGCTGGTCACTGCGGAGCTCGCCACCGCCATCCCGGGCAACGGCGGCTTCGTCCTGTGGGCGGATCGCGCTTTCGGCCCCTTCTGCGGGTCACTGATGGGGACCTGGAAGTTCCTCAGCGGCGTCATTAACAGCGCCGCCTTTCCGGTCCTCTGCGCCGACTACCTCGCGCGGGTGGAGCCGTCCGTTGCCAGCGGCACGCCGCGGTACGTGACGGTGGCCGGGATGAACCTGGCGCTCTCCTTCCTCAACTACACGGGGCTGACCATCGTGGGGTACACCGCGGTGGCTTTGGGGCTGGCGTCGTTGGCGCCGTTCGTGCTGATGACGGCGATGGCGGTGCCGAGGCTGAGGCCGGCGCGGTGGCTGACGCGGGGGAGGGGCAACGATTGGCGCCTCTTCTTCAACACGCTGTTCTGGAACCTCAACTTCTGGGACAATGCGAGCACGATGGCCGGGGAGGTGGAGCGGCCGGAGCGGACCTTCCCGACCGCGCTGCTCTCGGCCGGACTGATGACCTCGCTTGGCTACCTCCTCCCGCTCATGGCCGGCACGGGGGCGGTCGACGCTCCGCAGGACGCGTGGGGCAACGGTTTCTTCGCCGACATCGCAGGTAAGGGACGACGCAACTCTTCTTCCTCTTCTCATCCTCCACCGCATGCGCCGTTTCGGAGACGTGGGGACCACGTAATGATTCATGGACCCACGTCCTTTGACCATTTACTAGAAGCCACATAAGATTTTCTCAAACTGGTTGGTAGTACACATCAGATTACGTCCCATAGGAGACTTGAACAGCAATTATTGGCAGCTGGCGGTTATTAATAATTACCACGGAATGAGATGACCTTTTTCGTTGTACTAATTTATCTAGTTTTACGATAAAAATTATTTATTTGAATGGTTACATTTTAAGGAGGTAATTGTCACCAACGTGAATCATGTGATAACATGGAGCTCGATCGTCACATGCTCGGTAGTGGATGGATCTACACAGAATAATTATAAGAAAACAAACATGTTAGAACTCGAGGTTTGTTCTTAGTCTTGGCCGTGATAGGGAACACAATCCGCTAATGACATGCTTCATTATTATTAGTTCAACATTATTGGTCTCTTTATTTTTGCTTTTGATCTTTTATACAAGCCTGGAATACTTCGGAATATGCTTTTGTTTCCTTCAATCAGCGTAAGACAGAAAAAGAAAATGGCAGAAAAGATATGTTCTGTAAATAGTGACGTGGCTCCTTTCTAGTGGATACATAACCACAAGTCAAATTAGTTGACTAGTCGACCATGAACGTGAGCCAACTTTATTGCGTTTTTTCTTTTTTCTTAATTGCAACGCAGTTTTCATTCAGTCACATCATGCATAGTTGATAAGATCTACTTTAGTTCGGACCCCTTGTAGGTACGGTGGATGGTTGTAGAGTTTTCAGGTCCAATGGCAGGAAGCAAAAAAAAGAAAAAGGCCAACGCAGAAATCTTATTCTTTCGGAAACCTTACGACAATGTTCTACTTTTAGTCAATGGCATAGTTATTCATGGGTTTACGCTAGAGTTAGTGCTTTAGTTTGGAAAGTTCGGCATGGCTTGAAGACATAGTCAGGTGTACATAGACTTTTTATGCTTAGTGGTGCACATAAACGACAAGACACCCAGAAATTTTAGAGATGTTAGTGTTTTAAGTTTCTAAAGCAAGATGTTAATCAGAGGTTTCTTCCTATGTTACATGGTAGGTAGTAAAATTTAGGTCACATGACCATATTTCTGGTTTATTCCAGTCTTAGATAACCTTGTTCAAATGTAGGCATCAAGGTTACAGTCACTAGGGTGAAGCAGAGAAGATTGTTGTCTAAACCTTGACGATAAATTAGTTAAGCGACATGAGGATCATTTGAATATTAAAATTGTTATGTGAAAAATTTATCTGATTTATAGACACATTGTCATCAGATCCGAAAGCTACAACGATGTCGATCCGTAAGGAGAACTAGACTCGTCTTTTTCTTTCTTCTTATCCTTCACAGGATCATTATAAATGATGAATATTGGATTAAAAATTATGAACTAAAAGAGATTAAGAGTTCTTTCTTCTTAATCATGGGTTATTTTGTTCGTAGGAGATTTTATTTTTTTTATAGATGAGAGTAGAAAGTTTAAGATGATAATTAGGAGAATCTCTAATCTAATCATAATCATAATCTAATCATATTTATAATATATCTTACTTAATTATATAGCATTATATAATCTAACAGATTATCATGACACAATCCTGAAAGAGCTAAATATTATTTTCAAGAGCTAATTTTTCATCTTTTGACATTATAATATCTACGCCTTGCAATACATGACATTGTTAGAAAAGAGATAGAAAAGAAATTATTGAAGAAGTTTGATTGTATTCACATGTCCCTCTCCTATTTATACAAGTACAGAATAGAGAGATATCCTCGTAATCAAATCTTATCTGTAAATGAGACTGCTGCAAGCAGTATGATGTTGGAGGTATCTGTCCAGTACGAAGAAATTGTCTTAATTAACTGGAAGTTATTTTGAGTCAGACATCAGTATCGGTTCGGTATGTTGCCATTACTTTGCATATACTGATCGTTTTCATGCATGGATTCTGGACCCAAATGAAGCAAGATTCACCATTCACTTGATTCCATGCAGGCAGTATAGCTGGGAGATGGCTCAAGTATTGGATCGAGGTGGGCGCCGTGCTGTCGGCGATCGGACTGTACGAAGCGCAGCTCAGCTCCAGCGCGTTTCAGCTGCTGGGGATGGCCAACTTGCGCTTGCTTCCTCGAATCTTTGCCTCCAGGGCGAAGTGGTTCTTGACCCCCTGGGCGGGCATATTAACGTCCAGTCTCATCACCCTCGCCATCTCCTTCATGAGCTTCAACGACATCATCAACTCCGCCAACTTCCTCTACGGCCTGGGGATGCTCATGGAGTTCTCAGCCTTCTTGTGGCTGAGGAAGAAGGAGCCGAACCTCAAGCGGCCTTACCGCGTGCCGATGAGGCTCCCCGGCCTGGTGCTCTTGTGCCTGGTCCCATCGGCGTTCCTCATCTTTGTGATGGCCATTGCGAGCTGGAAGGTGTTTGCTATCTGTGCTGCGTTGACGGCCCTTGGCATCGCAGTCTATTATACTATGGCCGTTTGCAAGTCTAGGGGGTGTTTAGCATTCATGGACGAGGAAGAGACTAATGGAGAAATCGGCACGGGTGATGCTTGAGAATTGGCAGTATCCTTTATATGTATTATTTTATGGATAACGGGTGATTGATGATATGTGGTCACTGCAGAAGAGTTTGGGAAGATTTCAGCAGGTTTGATTGATGGGTTACTGGGATTCGATGAGACATCTGAAGGTACATATATTTCTCATATTAGTTGGATTGGCAAACTCGTAGTCGATACATTGCTTTTCTTTTTTTTCTTATTGAAACAATTAAGTATATTAATTAAGGAATCCAAATAGAAAAATATTTCTGAGATTCAATGTCACATGCACTATGCTAGGGTTCGATTTGGGATATGTCGGACCAAAATACACTATGCTAGGGTTCGATTTAGGATATGTCGGACCAAAATGCACACTCATCATACCTTTATAAGCTAACATAGTACATGGTAGCCCTCTACCCTGCTCAAATGCTAGGTCAGCTCTAATACCAAATGTCACGACCCGAGTCTGATGAACCAACTGGCCAATAACTTCATTTTGATCCTTCAACCACGGACCAAAATGCTTAAGCAAGAGTTAACATAGTATACTCATCAGATCCTTATAAGCTAATCATACACATTGTCCACTTCCGATGTGGGATTAATGGGATATTACATTCAAAGTGACTTATCAAAAGAAAATGAGAGTCACTCCCCTTTCCGAAAACCTTGTGATCTATTGGATCAGATTAACTAATCAATTAACTATATTCTATTGTTCTCTCTATAAATATGGCTTGAAACAGTGCCATCAAAAGATTGAATGTCTTTAGTCACAGATAATTGAAACCAACAAGCAGCATATCTGGAGTTGATCTTGCAGGCTCACTGTGAGTCAGTTTTAAATTGGAACATCAGCCATTCCTTCTCTAATTACAAGAGCCTCACATTAAAGAATACCCTTGCCATGCACACACTTGCATCCAATATAAACAGGATCACATCACCTTTATGAATATTCATAGAAGATCATAGTTTAGTTTATCCCAATCGACAACGGGAGGTGTCGCCCATTGAATGAGTGGTGTACATTTATCACTATCATTGTCATCAAAATGATGGAGGGCTTTGTCATTAGCCAACAAAGTAGCAATGATGTGCTGGAAAACACTAGAAGGAGATCTGTATTTGTTTTGAGAAAGAGTCTCACCGGGGTTTTCCAGAGCTACCAAAGGCTGGTGGTAATAGCAGCAGATGAGCCCATTCGAGTCGCCTTCCACAGCCTTTTGATCCAAAAAGGAGAAAGTATGTGCCAGCTTGGAGGAAAATAGGCGCCAATTTGAGTCCCCTCTTCGACTATTTACCCACAGCCTATTGATTCAAAGAGGAGAAAGTAAGTCTTGCCAAAGACAGGAAGACAAACGACAAGATAAAAAAAAAATAGTGATAAATGAATTCGATTTCTTCTCACAAGAGGGGGTAGATACTATAATGATCACCATATGAGCCAATCATGCTACCGATCACATGTTTTCCAAAAAAAATAGATTATATGATTCTATCTAGGTAAGACATTTTATATATCTAATAAGATTCTGATTATTATAATGATCACAAGAGGGGGTAGATACTATAGTGATCACCACGAGCCAATTGCTACCGATCACATGTTTTCTAAAAAAATATTAGATTATATGATTCTATCAAATTAGGTAAGATATTTTATATATCTAATCAGTTATAAGCTAATAAAAGAAAGTCCAATTATAATATTTTCTTTAGAAGATGAACTTGATTGGAGGGATTTTGAATATCATTTTAGATTTTCTATTCTTGCTTATAAAAGGATAGGACTTCGTATAGATGAAACAACTAGTTATTGAGATTACAAATCTATTTATAATCTTTCTTAGTTCTTCCTTATCTCTAATCTATCATTCATAGTGGTCATTTGAAGGATAGAAAGAAAAGAGAAGACAAATTTAGTGCTCTATGCATATTGATATCATTGTAGCTTTTGAATCCGATGACAATGCACTTATAGAAAAGATAAAGACATTCTAAATAGCACCGAAAAGTACATATTGTAAATCTTAATATATCATTATTCAGTTTCTAGCATTAAAGTTTTTCTTATAATAATAATATAATTATAGATTTCATAGTTATAATTTATACTAGAAACATGTTTTTGAAATCAAATACCCTATATCTATTTATTAGCTGTCTTTGTTTGCAGAAAGGTGTTATTAATATGCTTTCCTATTGTCAGTCTTCTCACTTGCTTGTGGGTAATGTAATGTTCTTTTAATACTTGATGGATTGATTCTAATACTTCAACTTATATTATTAATAATATGTAAGGATTTCTTTCACTTGAAAATTAAAAGAACATAAAGGATTTGTCATTTTGGAAAATCATCTCAAAACGAAAGTGATAGTAGTGAGAACTTATCACCTATGCCTAGAGACGGTTCATTTAATAAATCTTATAAGTACATGCTACGTTTCTACTATTTTAAGAAATTTAGTTTATTTAGAATTGATGAGTTAGGGTATTATTTTTCTTTCAGTAACGATAAACTAAATATATTTTATGATCCAATAAACATTAATTTTAAAATTCTATATGATGGTTTGTATATAATTAATTTGAATCTTGAGTTTCCAAAGACATTGATATCCATGCAATAAAATGATAGATTAAAATATAATTTTAATGATAAGAAATATTTTATTTTGTGGCATAGACATTTAGGTCATATCTCAAAGGAAAGAATTAAAATATTAGTGAAGAATATTATTTTTAAAAGATTTAGACGTCACTAATTTTGATGTTTGCATAGATTGTATTAAGGAAAAGCAAACTAAACATATAAAGAAAAATACCATAAGAAATAAAGAACTCTTTGAAATTATTTATATTAATATCTACATAGCACTCTATATTCCCTAATTTATTAGAAAGATATTTTATCATATTTATTTAATATATGACTATGCATTTAATATATGAAAATTCTTATATTATTGATACTCTTGAGATGTATATAAATTAAGTTGAAAGATAATTAGATAGAAAAGTCAAAATGGTTAGATTTAATATGGGTGATGAATTTTATGATAGATTTGATAAGTCTGATTAGAATTTTAATCTTTTTGCTAGATTTTTAAAAAAGTAGGGTATTTATGCTCAATATATCTTATCAGGTGTGTCACAATAGAATAACTTTGTTGAAAGACGAAATTGTATGCTTATGAACACGATTAAGAGCACAAAAAGTTATGCCTCTATACCTAAGTCGATGTGGAATGAAGTTCTTAGGATAGCTATATATATCTTGAATAGGATTCTTAACAAATTAAGTTTATCAATTCCATTTGAGTTAGAGACCGATAAGAAACCCAATTTAAGACATCTACATACTTAGGGTTATCATACATGAAAAGAAATTGGATCCAAGAATTATTTTTGAGTATCTTATTAGTTATCCAAAAAAATTCAAGGTATATAGATTTTATTATCCTAATCATAGTACGAGGATAATAGAATCTAGTAATATAAGATTCTTAAAAAATAATAAAATCAATGTGAGTGAAAAATATTAAAAAATCAATTTTGATGTAGAGGGGATATAGATTGATACTCTTTTACTATTTTTTATTCAATAGATTGTTGTTCCTCAAATTACTGAAAGAATTAATGAGGGTAAATAATAAAATAACATTGATGAACTCCCACATAATATTATTATCACTACTAATAATCTTATAGAACAACCACAATTGATAGTCTTGAGAATATCTCAAAGGAAAAGGAGACATATCATTTCTGATGATTATATGATATAACTATAAGAATTAGATTACGACATAGGAATTAAAAGAGAGACCCCTTATCTTTTCACAAGCTATGGAAAGCAACGTTTCTAAAAGTAATATAATATGATAAAAAATTGTAAATATATCTTTGAGACAAACATGACCCAAGGGATCATATCGAACGATATAAAACTAGACATGTGGCTAAAGTCTTTTCTCAAAAGGAAAGAATCGACTATAATAGGACTTTTTCTTTAGTTTTTAAATAGACTCATTGAGGATCATCATAATAGTAGGAGCTCATTATGATCTTGAGTTACATTAGATAGATATGAAAGCAACATTTTTGAATGAGAATTTAGATGAAAAAATCTACATAGAATAACTTAAATGATTCAAAAAAAGGAAAAAGAAAGTTAGGCTTACAAATTTAAGAAAACCATTTATGGCCTTAAATAAGTTTTTAGACATTGATATATAAAGTTTCATAATATTGTTACTTTCTTCGAATCCAAGAAAAATTACTGTTAATCAATGTATATATCTAAAGAACAGTGATAGCAAGTTTATTATATTAATTTTATTTATTAATGATATTTTGCTTGTCAATAATGATCTTAGTTTACTACACGAAATTAAAATTTTTCTTACTAAGAATATTAAGATAGTTGATATAAATGAGACAGCTTATATTATTTATATTTAGATATTAATAGATAGATCTTAATGATTGGTAAGATTATTTCAAAAAAAAAATATTGATCAAGTCTTGGAAAGATTTAGTATGCACATTTATTTAACTAATGATACACCTATTACTAAAAGTGAAATATTCAATCAAAATAAATGTCTTAAGAATGACTTAGAAAGAAATCAAATGAATGATATTTCTTATGCTCAAATATCAATTTTATAGTAGAATATTGAATAGATACCAAACAACATAGGAATAGAATATTGGAAAGTTGTAAAGTAAGTAATGAAATATTTACAGGGGATGAAAGATTATATAATCATATTATAAAAAATTAGATTAACTTAAAAAAAAAATATTTTTAGATATTAATTTTATAAATTACCTCAATAATAGGAAGTTCACTTTATGATTGATATCTATATTAGTTGGAGGGGTAATTTATAAGAATAATATAATGTAAATTATATTATCAATAGTAGAAATTGACTTTGTGGCATGCTTTGAGGCCACTATTCAAGTTTTATAACTGTAAAATTTTATATTAGGACTTGGTGTAGTTAGACTTAATTGCTAGGTTGTTGAAGATATTTTATGATATATTGACATAGGAGTATCTAATTTACCACAATCTGATCATATGAACCTTTATTATGATATGATATTTTTTTCAGCTAACAATGATGCTTCATAATCTTCAACTCAACA